AGCATGGCCAATAGCCGCGCCGGATACCTATCATACTAGGAGGGCTACTTGGTTGCGGTTGGGCTTTGGGTTGGTCGCTAGGTTAGTCTCTAAGTTAGTCTTCTCTGGGTTGGTCACCAGGTTAGATACTAGGTTAGATACTGGGTTGGATAATAAAGGATAATGGAAGCACAGCCAGGCTGGATGCTAGTAGCTTTAGCAGATGCTAGGAGAGGAGGTAGGTCAATACTGCGGTGGAATAAATGCTGGGCACTTGGTTAGGCCCTAGTTTGGAAATTGGGTTAGATGGGAGAGCTACTGGGTTGGACACTGGGTTGGACACTGGGTTGGAATACTGGTATGGATACTGTTTGGACACTGTGTAAGCTAAAATAGCTGGGTTGCACTCCGGGTTGGATGTTAGGTGATCTAGAGTAGCTAAATTGGATGCTAAGTTCATGAGCATATGGTTGCTGCAAGGGGTTACAATGCCTGGGAAGAGGCCAGCATATCCCGCGAATGAAGCAACCTTTGAAGCCCAAAATAGGGGGGTATAGAAGCTTTTTAAGCTATTGGGGACCTCTGCTTAGGTGCTAAGGATGCTCTGGAGTGCCGTAATAAAAGCGATTGAAGGGTGGGGGTTGAGGGTAAAGTAAACAAGGCGAATCTGATGGATCAATGGAAGTGCTCGGAATTGCATATTTTATGCAGATTAGTCCCCCTCATGGACTCTCCCATTTTACCATTTCGAAGCCTCCTCCTTCACTACTAATTTAATATAGATATCAATAGTAGGTAAACGCCTTCTAGTGATTATAGGCTCAATTGCCTGATATTTGGCCTATAGTGGCCGGTAGAGAGTTGGGGGAGGTCATCGGGGGGATGCTGTACTGGAAGGGTGGGTATTGGGTATTGAGTTGACTTTGGCCGGATGTGAGGGTAACTATGTTGTAGAGCGTAGGTGTTTCTATAGATCTCAATTTAGCCGGAATAGCCTCTAACTACTATGCTCTCAAGATATCACGAGATGTCGCTCGAGGAGGTGAAAACAGGGATGTTTTGCAGGGGTGCATCCTACCGTGCACGTGCATCCTTAGGTAGCCAATGGTAGGTGGAGGTGGCAATAGCCGAATGTAGTATATTTCAATGCTTTCGCGGTCTCTCTATCTTGGTGATATTGATGCTTTCGCGGACGCTCTATATGTATGAAAACCATGCTTTGGCGGCCTGTCTAATTGCATAAAAACCATGCTTTCGCGGTGTTTTCGCTTGTCTACATACAGGTACCTATGAGTTGAACGAGTGAAGTGCAAAATAACGCGTGGCGCGATATAACACTCTGCCGAGTGACTGGCACGCGTAGGACGCAACCTGCTAAGTGACAGACGCACAGGAAGATGTGCTGCGTCCCGACGCAGTTTTTTTTTCCCTGATGCATCATCGGCTACCTAAGATGACCGGGTCAACACGCTAGCCATTTTCGGGAATCCCGTGATTCTAGGCGAGCAGAGTGGTAAGCGGCCATTCTGGCTAAATTGAGATCTATGGAAACAAGTACGCTCTATAACATGGTAGCACTCATGCCCTGTCAGAATCAGCCTAATATACCAATACCTCCAGTTTACAATATGACCCCCCCGTCAACCACCCACCCCCTCAACCCCACCATATAGGCCCAATATCAGGCAGGTGAGCCTATGAGCACTAGGAGGCCTTTATCAAGTATCTATATCACTGGGATGCTGTAAAACAGTATCTACCTATTGTATAATTCTAGATAGAACCTGCTTCGTTTTGGTATAAATCTGAGGAATTGAAGTACCTTAGCAATCTGCATATAAATAAGTACCTATGATTAAGAAAGTACCGTTTTGCACCTTACCTGGATACTATAAGTAAGAAATAGCTGGGATTTTTCTAGGGTAAAAAGAAATCGTGTAACAAGATATTTACAAAAAAAATATCATACTTATGACACTCTAAAATTTCACTGAATTCCATATAGCGCATTGATATTTGGTACAAGATAGTCTATATATATAGCCTGAACCATAAGGCTCCGTCTATAAGAATCCCATAGATAAGAAACTAATTTTCAAATACCTATTACATAGGAAACGTTGCAGATTTATACGGTAGCAATAAACGAGATGAAGGTGATGAGTTGTTAACAAGTATGTACTTCATATCCCCTTGTTCAATGTCTGCCATCTCCCACTAATCAACAGGAAGGGTATGTGATGTGGATGGGGTGGTCAAAAATGACTTTTTTGGGTGTTTTTTGAGTGTAGCAGAATGTTTTGTTCGATTCACATTTACCAAATTGAGGAATTATATTAATTGCCCGCGACCGGTACAGAGGGTATGCCGCCCGCAAGCGGCCCAGAACAGGTATGTGACGGTCCTCATGTGAATCTCAAAGGGGGAGTTGAAAGCTCACTCTACACCCAGGCCTAGACCTCTCCATTATAAGACACCAATCCAACTATCGAGCACCGCTACAGTATAGGTACAGCGTCAACACGCAGGATGTTGAGTGCATTTCAAACTCTGCGTTCTAGTTCCCATGAGCAGTAGGTCGGTCCAGAGTAACTACCAACTTACTTACACCAAATGGGCGTCGGAGGGGGCTGGTGCTCCCAAGGAAGGAAGGTAGAAGGGAGTACCGGGCTAGGCCGTATGTGCACGGTATGGGACGGGGAGGTTGCCGGAATAGAAAAGGCCCTGGAAATGACAGATCCAGAGTAGAAAATGCTCATCCTGTCTGACTCGCAGGCAGCCATTAGAGCAATTGAGAATGCAGGAAGGAGGGGGAAGGCGATTGGGCAATACAATTAGGCACATCAAGGATAGGCAGGAAAGATTGGGCAGGAAAGATTGGGAGGGGGGCAGTAAGACTCGGGTGGGTTAAGGCTCACGTAGGGATCCCTGGGAACGAACAGGCCGACCTGCTGGCAAAGGCAGGGGCAGAGAAAGACCCTGAAGACCCAGTGATTACAGAGGGGGGCCTCAGCCAAGAATGGAAAAGAAGGAGAGAGAAGAAGAGAAAGGTGGTGGGGGCGGGACTGGGAAGGATAGTGAAGTGGGGAAGGAGGGCGAGGTCAACTACGTCCACTGTAGGACGGGGAAGGGTAACCTTCAATCCTGGCGTGCAAAGTTAGATGACACGATTGACCCTGTTTGCCGAAAATGTGGGGAGCAAGCAGAGACAGGCAGGCATGTGGCCTTGGCCTGTGCGCATGGGGAGGCATTAGGCAGGAGATGGAGCACCTGGGAGGAGGTGGACGACAGGAGCACCTGGGAGGAGGTGGACGACAGGAGGAGGTGGGTAAAGAAGGTGAAGGACAGGGCAAGGAAGTCGTGGTAGACTTGGCCGAGACCTTCTTCGCCAATTTAGACCTTGGGTGAGATGCAGCCCCGTCATGTCGGTGTCGTTTCCTTGCTATTCTTTACTAGTAGAGCCTGTTCGGAGGAACTTATTATACTAATGTTGAATGTAGCAAGGAGGGCAGGCACCGACAGAGGGATGGGGTCGGGAATGGGCATTGCGGAGGAAGTTGTTTTCGCTGGGGTATTTGTTGTCACAGGGGAAGTTGTTGTCACGAGGAAGTTGTTGTTGTGGTTTTTGTTATATACTGGGGCAGGCCTGATGGGGGCAGGCCTGATGGGGGCGTGGTGGCGGAGGCAGGGGTATCTCCAGTTAGTTTTCCTTGGTTTGGGAGGCTGGGCGTTTATGCAATCCGTTGTCCCGTGGGTGTACCAAGTCTTTTAAGATGGGGGAACGGGGCCGTCTCATAGCCTTAGGGTCTATGTATAGACGTACAGACTTCAAAAAAAAAAAAAAAAAAAAAAAAAAAAAAAAACTTACACCAAAGGCAAGGACCCAAAAAGCTCGTCCTAGCGCTGACATACTACCATTCTCGTCAGGGGCAGCATAGCATCCCTTACTATAACCAAGAACGCTAGTGCACCAAAGAAATAAAACTCTTTTAATGATATAGTTTACTTAGATGTGTATATTAATTACATACATGACATGGTATAAGTATGGGTAAAGTAAAAGCAAAAGGATTATCATACTACATATATATTTATTCAATTCATACTTGGTTTACTTTGAGTTCTTTGAAGCTTCAGTCGGTCAAGCTGCTGGAATCATGGCTGTATATATGAAAACTGAACCCAAATCCATTCCGCATTCTTGGACAGTCGGAAAATCTAGTCATATCAAGCTCATGGGCCGCTGATATACCACAGTGTTATATAGAATATATATTTCCAACGTAGTCTGGTTGGCACAATCCCCCCGCCAAACGGGTTTCCAACGCATGATCTAAAAAAATTCAAAAAAAGAAAAAGAAAAATCCTGTCTTTTAAACCAGAAATGCCCCCTATCAGGATCGAACTGATGACAGCGCACATATTCCTTGCCATATGAGACTGATGCTCTACCAGCTGAGCTAAGGAGGCTAGTTGTTGGTCAACTTTCGGACTGCTCTCGCCCTAGTATAGACCTGGAGAAGAAATGCCGATGTCCTTTAGCTAAGATTTCTCACAAAGCCAGTAAATTTGTACCAACAGCGGGTACGGGTTTACGTATTCAGAAAACTCAATCTCGAACCGCATGCATGGGTTTGTAAGAAAGAAAACGTGGCTATGAGTGGGAAGAATGGTGAGAATAGTTGATATGTTCAAGCAATGGAAAGCTGTGCTTTGATCGCTATAAGGAAACTATGACCGCTCTATCGAACACAACATCTAGTAGTCTGGTTGGCACAACATCTAGGAAAATCAGTGTTTATGGATGCGGTTTGAGATTGAGTTTTCTGTATACGTACGTATATCCGAACCCGCTGTTGGTACAAATTTGCTGGCTTTGTAGGGAATGCCTATAGCTAAATGCCAGCATAGATAGGCATTTATTGAAGTCGCCTTCGCCATATACTTATTCCAGTCATCTCGGGTAATAGTCAAACCTTATTTATATATGAATAGAAACTAAATTGGCTATATAACAACTAGCCTCCTTAGCTCAGTTGGTAGAGCATCAGTCTCATATGTGTGCGCTGAGTGTCATCAGTTCGATCCTGATAGGGGGCATTTCCGGTTGGAAAGACAGGTTTTTCTTTTTCTTTTTCTTTTTAACTTCTTGGGTTAGAAATATAGATTCTGTATCTGAACTGTTCAACAGCCCATGAGCTTGATCATGACGAGCTTCAATGGGATGCGGAACGGATTGGGTCGTATCTGCAGTTGGTACAAATTCGCTAGCCATGTTCCAGCAACTTGTTTATGATATACGTCTAAGTAACTACTATATTCACCGGAAGCCTATTTCACAAAGTATAACAATATGAAAGTCTAGGAACTCTAACAATTTACATCCGCTAGCCTCCTTAGCTCAGTGGTAGAGCATCAGTCTCATATGGCAAGAAATGTGTGCGCTGAGTGTCATCAGTTCGATCCTGATAGGGGGCAAAAAAGACAGGTTTTTCTTTTTCTTTTTGAATTCTCCTTAGACCATATATATCCTATATAACACTGAATTGTTGCTCATGAGCTTGATCATGACTAGCTTTTCTGACAGTCCAAGACCAATGGGATGCGGAACAGTTTTTATATATCTACTGTTGGAATAGATAGATTTGCTAGCTATAGTTCCAGCAACTTGAAAAAGGTTCAAAGAACTCCAAGTAAACTAAGTAAGTATGAATTGAATAAAAAAATTAGTTCATAATATTTCTAGCTTAAGGAAGTTATATAGTAGAAGAGGGAGTATTTTCTAGTTTTTAGGTTAGATTGGTAGATACTATGAATTCATATAAGTTATTCCCCTAGCTAGCAAGCACATAATTGCAGGGTATATTATTCATTAATGTTGGAAACCAATTGTTCTGGTGAATAAAGATAGCGTGCCAAATGCAGCACTCTGGGATGTTCATTGCAACTGGGGTACAGAGATGGATCACTACACTATCACGGATGAGTCCTAGGTCAAACATTAGGAGGTTTTGTCTTTCAAACTGAGTTGAATCTAGCTATACTGGACAGCAAAAATCTGACCCTTGCCGTCCGGCTTAACTTAGGATCCAGTAAAGCAATATCTCTGAGAGAGAAAATCATATCTAGAGAGGGTAGAGAGTCACAAGAGTATTTTTAATTTGCTTCAAGCTATCCATCTCATTACACAATCATAGGATTAATACCAGTAACAATTATTTTCCATTGCTAGCAAAAGTTGGTATTTGGCTTCTATGGAGTTAATTGGTCGGCATCATAAATATCTTTATGATTTATAGCAAGCAACTATGATATGATATCAGTAGCTAGTATGCTTACTTTAGAAACTGAAGATATTACCGACCAAGTAACTGAATTAGATCCTGGGGTAGCGGAAAGTGTAGAAGCATGGAATGAAGATGCTGTCATCTATAATCGCAATCTTGGTATCCTTCCAGTCTCTACTATTCATTCGAGCTGGAATTCCGCAAAGCATGTAGCAACTTATTACCGACTCTGAAGCAACATCAGATAGTCTGCCAGGTGATGAACCTATACCTCCACAGGTACCGACAGTTTCAGAAGCTATTTCGCAGCTTGATGATCTTACTACATTGTTTCAAAGTTACTCCGTTTTGACACTCTCTTTCCTTCATTCCTAGCACCAAATTCAAATATCCGACATGGTTGAGAAAGTTCTTCAGGCCCGGGAGGGATTAAACCACTATCAAGGTCCAGAAGCAACTTCGAGATTTTTTGGCGTTCTAGGCTGGACTCTGGATTATCTAGGTATATTTGTATGTAGTTATTTTTCAAGATCCTAAATCTCCACTCCAGTTGAGTTCTTCTACAGTCCGGTATGACGAGGAAATTTGGTTGAAAACTAAGAATTCATTCGAAGCCGTCCGTTATAGCAAGGCTTCCACAATAACGAGACTCGAAATGGCTAAATTATGCATCATAGGTGCCAAACAATAGCGACTTTCTATATAGTCTTATGCCTATATATTGTATCCTAACATAAATATAGATGCTAAGTTAAGGTGCTGGCACGATGTAGGATTGTTTGTTCATGATATCGAGGTCATACTGAGAAGGGGTGTCCAATTACATCCTTTTCGAGCTGAATTGCTGTATATGATAGCTTCACATGTGTTATTCAACTAGCTAGTATATGCATATTGTAGAGCATATTCAAGAGTGTCAGGAAACAATTTATCCGGTCTGGAGAGGAGGTCTAGCCAGCGTAGTATTTCGGAATTATGTGTCATGGCAGGGGTAGTTAACATGGATCACTACACCATCACGGATCAGTTCTAGGGCAAAAACTGTACCACATTACTGTACGTATCCGTAAAAGCGTCTAATGCACGCTGTCTCAGGCCCCCGCTCAAATATCTCCACTGCAACTTGTAAGTCACAACATATCTATCAAGCTGTTGAACCATTACCGAGGTTTTTTGTCATCTTGGATTCAAGATCTCTTAATATAGGGGCGTCGGGTAGGAGTACAGTAACTTTACTTTTCTCACACATATGGACCTACCGGTATCACACTCGCGGCAACACAATATATACTGAATTATCAATCGATATCAGGACCAAACGTATATGCGACAATACGACAATGTCTGACCCACTGTCAATTATCTCGGCGGTATTTGGCCTAGTAGCGATATCTGCCCAGCTTGGTGTCCTTTCCAAGCAGCTGTGCAACTCTGCGAAAGACGCACCGGTATCCATGGTACAGATCCACCAGGAAATAGACGATCTACACCCAATTTTCATAGAGGTGGGGTCATTCATACGAGGCACCACGAAGATAGAGACTAGCAAGAGAGGGCTCTCTATGATCAGCTTGCATCATTTGATGACTATTTTGACTAGCTGTGTTTTGGTATTCTCGAAGCTCGAGAAGAAACTAAATGAGGTTGCCGGGTTGGTGGATCCCACTACACAAAAGCCTGCACGGGGATTACAATGCACTGTGGATCGAATCAAGTGGGCCTTGTGGAAAGAAGCAGAGGTTGGCGTACTTCTCGGAGACTTACAGAGGCACAAATCAAGCTTGCAGCTCATGTTGTCTATGATTCAATGGTACTGTACATATCCCTGTTTCCAACCACGATGAACATTCCGAGTGTTGAGTCGATAGGATATTAATGAATTAATCCAGCAATACTGCATCTGAGGCAAACGAGCGTTTGGAGAAGCTACAAGGGCTCGTGGAAAAGATATTAGAATCCAACGTCGAAACCTCCATCCAGTTGCGGGCACTTATCAGTCGACAGTCAAATGAACCGCCAGCTCACGACACTGCAGGGTCGGGGAGCAATATTGGCCCCAGCACTATTCAAACTAGCGACGCTCCTTTATCTGGATGCGCTTCGCGTCTCTCGGTTGATCAAAATGACGCGGCCTCTTTCCGAACGACCAGAACATCATTCTCTTCACAGTCCGTGCAATCCTTCACCCGGGAGCTCTTCCGTTCAAGAGCCTACAAACGCCTTAACTTTCGTAGAGCTGGCGCTGGTTCCAGTGCTGAGTCTATCTACTCCAAGAGTAGTAGTGCAACCAAGGGGGACAGATGGTCAATGCTATCAGACATTTCTCTGGGTGCCCTGGCAATATCTGAAATTTCCGTTCTGGAGCTGCCAATTTGCAGATCTGACTTGTATGATTCACAGCCCTATGATTTAGCTGAGGAAGCCACATCAGCCGAAAGGCCCAACGGTATTCATGCTCAGCGTAGGGAGGTGTTACCGTGGGCTTCCCGTGGCAGGGTTCATACTGCTATTAGGACGAATAACGAATTCGTATTACGTACCTTGATTACTTTGGGAGCTGACCTTGAAGAGAAAGATTCAGAAGGACATACACCTTTGATTATGGCAATCCGCAACAGCAATTCTAAGGCTTGTAAAACCCTCTTAGATATAGGTGTAGGAGTGGACACCCCTGACTCTTCCGGCATCACGCCACTGATACATGCTATAACGTTCCGTGATGACGACCCTGACGACGTCCTTTATATAAACCCGGGCTTGCGACTGAAGCTTTGTGAATTGCTGGCGTCTGCAGGTGCGGCGGTCGATACACCCAACTCTTCTGGTCGTACACCACTGTCGCATGCTGCAGGTTGCCAGACTTGGGACGGGTTGCGCCTCTGTGGATTTCTCATAAGTAAGGGCGCTGCGATCGATACACCCGATGCCACTGGCCGTACACCGCTATCGTATGCTGTGTCTAGCCAGTCTTACGGCAGCTTCCGCATCTGCAAACTTCTTGTAGACGAAGGTGCAGCAGTTGATACGAGCGATTCCTCCAGCCGTACACCGCTGTCATACGCTATGTGTTCCCGGCGTGTGAACAGCCATAAGATTTGCAAACTTCTTGTTGATAAAGGCGCAGCAATCGATACGCCTGATTCTGCCGGTCGTACCCCGTTATCATATGCTGTGGCTAATGGTAGCCACTGGGATAATTTTAAATTGCTGGTAGATAAAGGTGCCGAACTGGATAGGTCGGATTCCTCAGACCGCACGCCACTATCATATGCTGCAGCCACTCCAAGAAAGACTACCATCAAAATTGCCAAATTCTTAGTGGATCATGGCGCAGTAGTCGATACACGCGATTCCTCTGGCCGCACACCGCTGTCGTATGCCGCCTCGTCTCGGGGTTGGGCTGCCCTCGATATTTCTAAAATGCTGATGGGTGCAGGTGCAGCGGTGGATACACCCGATTTGTGTGGACGTACGCCATTGTCATATGCAGCTGCAACAGGCGCAGATGTCCCCAGAGAGTTAATTCTTGCCTTTGTTGATCGTGAATGGGGGAGAAATCTTAGAGGGAGACCACCGGCGAGGGATATATATATTTTCAAGGACACCCGCATAGCGCTTTGCACACTACTCCTTGATAAAGGCGCGAAAGTGGACACAATCGACAGCGCTGGTCACTCCCCCTATTGGTACGCTCGTGATGCAAACAACAATGAGATTTGTCAGTTTCTTGCCAAAAGGGGTGCGAAGCAAGATATATAAGCAAGCGGAGAATTCTTCTTTCTACCAAGTTACACATCTAGACAAAGTGGTGGC